AGACACTGCCGAGACACTGCCGAGACACTTCTGGCCCGCGCTGCACCCCAAGCTGTCAGCGCCGAGCCCCCCCCCCCCCCCCACACACACGGGCGATTCCCGCGCCCCGGCCTTCCTCTCGTTGAGGGCCGGCCCGTCCTCAGCGCTGCTGCCGCGGCGCCCCCGCGACCCCTCCGACGCACTCCCGGAGACACTTCCGCGACACGTCCGCGACCACCCCCGAACGGCGAGCACTTCCGAACGGCCCTGCCTCCCTCTCGCCCCGCAGGACGCGCTGTGCTGCTGCTGCGACGGCGACGAGGTGATCTTGCCGCCCGGGAGGCACTCGGCTGCCGCACTCGGCCGGCTGCGTGAGTGCGTCACGATCCGCGGCGCCGAGGGCGCGAGGTCGACGGTACTCACAAACGGCGCCGACGACGCGTCCTTTGTGGAGGCGAGCGCAAAGTCGATCTCTCTCGTGGGGCTCACCTTGCGTGCGCGGGGCGGCGGCGAGGGTGTGGTCCGCGTCACGCGCGGCTGGCTGAGCATGTCGCACTGCGCCGTCGAGTGCGGCGGACCGGAGGGGGTGCGCGAGCTCCTGTGGACAGTGTCTCTGCACACCTCGACTTGCGAACAGGTGCGGCGGACTGGAGGGAGTGCGCGTGCTCGGCGGCGCGCACCTCTCGATGAGCCACTGTTCCGTCTCGGACGCCTTCACCTCTGGCATCCAATCTAGCAGACCAGCCCCCGAGAGGAACACGTATTCAGCCGTATTATCAACCGCATTCAGCCGTACTCAGCCGCATTTGCATTCGCTGTGATCGCATCCCTTCCCTCCACACCCTGACGGTCGCGTTTCTCACTGCAGGCATCCAAATCTCGCCGCGCGCCAGAGTCAGCCTCCAGCACGTGACGCTGCGCCGGAACGGCGGCGGCGACGGCGCCGCGTGCCCCGCCGGGCAGGGGGCGGTGCAGCTGCGCATCGAGTTCTCGGTGGCGAGGGGCGGCGGCGCGCCATCCAGCGGGGGCGGGGGCGGAGGAGACACGGGCGGCTGCAGCGGCGGCGGCGGCGGCGGCGGCCCGGGCGGTAGTGGCGGCGGCGGGGGGGGCGGCACGTCGCTGCTCGGGGTGAGGCGGTCGGCGGCGGGGCCGTCGACGGTACTGTCGTCCACGCCCGGCGGCCGCGAGGCGTGGGCGGAGTCGCGGTTCGGCGCGGCGGCGCCGCCTCGCGCGGCCGAGGCGCCCGCCTCCGCTCCGCCGCCCGCCGCCGAGTTCTTTCACAGCCCCTTAGCCGGGCCAGCCGCCGAGCTGCTCTCGGCGGCGAGGGGCGAGGTGATCGCGGCGTCGACGAGCGAGGTCGCGGCGGTCCGCGGGGACGTCATTTGGTCGCCGCCCGCCGCGGCCGCGCCGGCGCCGCCGGCGCCTCCGCTGGCGCTCGAGGGGGTCGAGGCACTTGCGGTCGGCGATCTGCCGCTAAAGCCGGCAGGGCTGCTGTCGATGTCGCACTGTAGCGCAAGCGGTAACTCCGGCGCGCCGATCGTCTTTTGCCAGCCGGCGGCGCTGCTCGAGGTGACGGGGCGCGCCCCCGCCGTCCCCGACGGCGCGTGCGTCTGGCTCGGCCCCGGCAACGTCTTCGACGGCGGTCGGCCCTTCGGCACCATCACGCACGGCGACGGCTACACGCCCAAGCCGCAGCTCACGCCGCAGATGACACCCTCTGTCACGCCGGCCAAGCTGCCCGCGATGATCCCCTCCCTCGTCCTTCCTCCCGGCAGCCCGATGGGAAGGTGACGAGCGGCCGCTGGCCGCCCGGCCAGGTTCCGACGCGCACTAAGCCCTTCCCCGTCGGTCAGAGGAGCGCCGAACCGGCATTTGTGTCTGTTTGGTGACCGAGAGACGAGAGCATGAAGGAGAGAGCTTCACCAAATTGGCGAATGCCAAATATACGTGGTGCTTGAGACAATCTTTCGGCGGACCAAGGGACCGGGGTTGTGACGCACTCGAGGCCTCGGGCTCGGCCGCGCGGAGCGCCTCGCCAAACGCCTCGCCAACCGGGTCGCGGACCTCGAGCGGACGGCCATGACCATTCCTGTCGGCGCCGTCGTGGCGTGGGAGGGCGAGACGGAGTACTCGTCGGACGAGGAGACACTTTTCTTCATATCTGGGGCCTCCGGCGCCAGTGCGAAGTCTAGTCGCCCTAAACCACCAGCCGATGAGCGACTCCCGGAGCGAGTCCCCGAGCAAGCGCGTGCGGATCGGACCGACACCACCGTCTCAACCGGCAGGCACCTTTACGGCGCGCGCCGCCACTCCCCCGGCCTGCCCCAACAAGCGTCGACAAAACACTGATACACAGCCACTCACAGAGACCAAACCTACACTCAGAACAGCGCCAAAACGAGCGAACACGCACCCACCAACCACACGCGACAGAGCATAGCACAAAATCCGACGCGCGCACTCGCGACGCAGCGCAGCGCAGAAGCTGACGCTGACGCTGACGCTGCGCTGCGCTCGCTCGCTTGCTGCACGGCACGCGCTCCGCACACGCACGCGCGTGCGCTCGCGCGCTTCGCGTTCGCTCCGCGAAGGACACCCACAACTCGAACCCGAGACTCCCCGCAAAACAAGAGCCCCTCGAACCGATAGAACCCAACTCATGCACAACCACCTCTGCAGCTGCTCATATAGCCGCGAATTTCTGCCATAGGGAATGCGGGCTGCGATGGGCGAGACCCTCCCATACGTGGAAAAGGCGCTGATGATCGAGACGACCCACATGAACAACACCCACGTGGGGACCGTTGTGGAGTGCATGACGCTCGACATGGAGTACGCCTCAAGGCTGCCGGGCGGCAGTACTCGCCTCGCAAGGCGCGCACCGGCTGCTCTGGCTGCTGCGCCGGCGGCCGCTGCGCTGGCCGCTGCTGCGCCGGCTGGCGGGCGGTACGGCCGCCGGCGGCCGCTGCACCCGCGCCTTCCCTCGCGGGCGCCGTCGCGCCGCGCGCGCCCAACTCTGCTGGCACACGGCACGCGTCGTCACACAGCCGCGGAGAACAGGCGGTGCTGTGCGCGAAGCGCGCGCGATCTCGTACTTTTAAGGCTGGATCCGGCCATTCCAAGGGTATACCTTTGAGAATCCCCAGCGTCCCACCCTCCTAGTCACACTCTCAATATCTCGACTCTCCAACACGAGGTGCTGCGATCGGGGGTGGCCCATTTCTTTTTTCCTTTCTTTTTTTGGGTCCTGTGTGGGCACCCTATCGCGCGTGTAATTCGTCGATCGGCCGTCCTCTTCACACATCTCACTGAGATTGTTATTCAAATTCCATGTTCACAGCAATTGTCTCCCCTTTTTTTCACCACCTGAGATCCCGAATCTCAGCCCTGCAATTATGACCCCAACTGCCCTGACGAAAACGAACAACATACCAGGCGACTGTCTGAGAACGTGGGATCGAATCGTAGGAGGCACACCTAGAGCAAAAATTGAGCCCGCTCAGGTGAGAAAAAAAGTGTGTATATATAAGGGTCAAGCAGGTTTCGAACTGGCGACCTTCCGCTTGCGGAAAGGTATCCAGCAAGGAATCGCTGCGAGTGAGAGGTCGCCGTTCGAAACCTATAGCATACCGGGGGAATTAGACACCACAGATACGCACACACCGACGCCCGAAGTGCCAAGAAGGACGTCATTAGTACGAAACCTCAGAAGGCCATGGGCGCCGAGAGAACATTCCCCCGAGAGGACAAAAAGAAAGACTAACCCGAACCTCCTTCCCTGGTTCCCCCCGCCAAATGCCGCCGTTCTCGGGGCATGCTATCCTGTGTAAGCAGGGCAGGTGGGGAAGGGGGGCAGTCCCTTTGACTTATGTATCTCTGGGTTCTGTCTCTAGCGTCGGAGGCAAGGGCGAAGCTAAGAATATTTAATTTTTTGCATCTATCGTCCGCTGCGCTCGGCACACCGCGCGACCTTTTTTCTTTTGTAACGTGCGTGTACTCGTTGAGAGTTGTTGAGACACGCGCTGTGTTCAAAAATTAATCAAAATATGCGCGCGTCTTCTGAGACACGCGCTGTCACAGTATGCACGGCGCGTCTTTTGAGACAGCAAGCAGCAACGCCAATACTGACGTAATCTCGGAGATGCCGCGCGAGCAATTCGGGATGCGCGGAGCAACTAATATGGACTCGCGCATCTTAGGATGCTCGAGCATACCGAATTGCTCGAGGGCACCTACTAGACGCACTCTAATCCAGAGACGCATTCGAGGTAACCAAAGATGGGGGGGTCGCGGGTCCCCCCCCCAGACGTGTGTGGACCCCTAGAGGGAGCGGACCGTGTAGAGTTGAGGAAATCGAGGGACGCGACCCACTTCGCCAGACGGTCCCGCGCCTCGCCCCTAAGACGGGTACACGACCGCGGCTCGTGTGCGTGTACCCGTCTTTGTCCGGAGTGAAAAGTCCAACGCGCTCGTCGGTGGCGGCTTCCCTCAACCTGCGCCGCGCTCGGCGAACCTCGACAGCGCTTTCGGTGGCATGCAGCTCTTTGCGACAGAAGCCTGGAGAGCAGCTCCTCTGCTGCTCACACACTCTGCACAGTTGACACAGCCTATTGTGCGGCTACCACAGCTGTCACAGCGATGGGCTCGCCCTCACTGGCCCTCAGTCACTTGTGCTGCGGCTTGTGTGAGCGACACTGCTCGGCGACTGCCGGCACACTGTGAGACCATGGATGTGAGGTAAAACCACGCTACCAGCGCTTGGTCACATCGGCACCGAGGTCAGATCCTTCTACTCTGTTGATGACAAGACTTGTCTACTGGCTGGAGCCGAGCAGGAGGGCCCAGCGCACAACCCCTGGTCAACTCAGGGTCCACACGCTCCCGTAATCGACACGAACGCTCAACGCACAACGGGACACAACTCACAAGTGATCGAGTAAGCCATTTTTGAATACACGTGATGTTAGTACGAAAACAACGGCACTCCCGAGACAGCGATGTGTGGCTAATCTAGAGCCGGCTTAGGCGACCAGCAAGCACGCGCCGCCGACCGCCTTGATCTTCTTCTCCGCCAGCTTGGAGAAGAACTTCGCCTTGACGACCACAGGCTGCTTCGGCAGCTCGCCCTTGCCCAGCACCTTGTACACGCCCTTGCTCACGCAGTCGATGACCGCAGCCTTCGGCCCGCTGGCGTACTTGGTCCGCGTCTCCTCGGGGACCTGAGGGGGGAGGGGGAGGCGGGGAGGTGACAACGGCGCGGCGGCGGCGCGGCGCGGCTCACTTGGGCGGCGCGCGCGCGGGGGTGGGGGGGTGGGGGGGTGGGGGGGTGGGGGGGTGGGGGGGTGGGGGGGTTGGGGGGGGGCCACGAGGAAAGGTGGGAGCCCGGACGTTCCACAAAACCGGGGGAAGGGTGGTGGTGTGTGTTTGGGTTTGGGTTTTGGGGGGGGGGGGTTTGGGGGGGGGGGG